ACCTCAGCAAGAGAGGCTTCTGAAATGAGGAAGTGTGCCTCACCCCTGGGAGAGATCCTTGGGGCCCTCCCTGTCCTTAGGGCTCACTCCTGGTTTTTGTACTGCCCCATGACTGGGGCTTCTCAGGGAGGCTTGGAGCGGGGAGGAAACATGCTGGCATAAGGCAGGAGTCAGACTTTGGGCATCTGAATTAGGTGAAGGTAGTTGAAAGGAATCTTGGGAGAGAAAGGGGCAAAGTGTCATGGGGTTTTTTTTTTTTAGAAGCTTGATGCCGACATGCTTTTTTTTATTTCCAGACAAATACTCGTCGCAGTTTGGTGGTGGAAGTCAATATGCATATTTCCATGAGGAGGATGAGACTAGCTTCCAGCTGGTGGATACGGCACGAACGCAGAAAACGGCGTACCAGAGGAATCGTATGCGATTTGCACAGGTGACGCGTTTTCAGAAACGGGCTCCAGCGAGAGCTTTAGCAGCACAGAATTATTTTGCAACTGACGTTGTTTTGGGTGTTTTTTTTGTCCTTTGTTTCTGCAGAGGAACCTTCGGAGAGACAAGGACCGTCGGAACATGCTGCAGTTTAGCATGCAGACGCTGCCAAAGAGTGCCAAGCAGAAGGAGAGGTGAGGGCTCCGATAGGAGCATACCGTGCTTGGGTTGGAGTGTGTGAACACGCGGGTGACAGATTGTTGAAGTTACTGTAACAGAACCCACCAGAGTGAACAGCAGAGAAGAATTTCAGGATATTTCAAGACCAATGTTTTGCTGGTGTCACCTGTAATTACAAGCACGGGATTTGAACGGCTGTCAGAGAATTTAGGAGGATTTATGAATCGTATTTAGAAAATAAAACATGAAGTTTTATAGCGGAGTGTACCCTTTCTGAAAACTGTGTTGCAGTCTGTGGAGTTGAAAATATTTAAAGAGCTGCTCAGAGTCAAGTACAGAGCATTTAATGCCTCGGGCATCTTGGTCAACAAATGTTTCGGTGTCTCATTGCCTAAAAGCCTTGCTTGTCTGGTGGTAATTTGGAAGCGTAGGTAATTTGGAAACATAGGAATGGAGAACAACTCTTCATGGCTTTGCTCATATTGGTCGTTTTAGAGATCGTTTGCGCCTACAAAAGAAGTTTCAGAAGCAGTTTGGAGTGAGGCAGAAATGGGACCAAAAGTCACAGGTAAACTAGCAAGCTTTCTGCCCCCGCATTGGTTTGGTTTCTCTGGCTGCGCTCTCGGGGCAGCTTCTCTTGCACAAATCCTCATGTGCTGTGTCTCCGTTTCTCGCTCTACCTGTCCTCCCTCTGGCCGCACAGCAGAAGCCTCGTGACTCCTCTGTGGAAGTTCGCAGTGACTGGGAGGTGAAAGAAGAGATGGATTTCCCTCGGCTGATGAAGATGCGCTACCTGGAGGTGTCAGAGCCACAGGACATGTGAGTTGCTAAAGCAGCTGCACGCTTGCTTACTGGACTGACTGGATTTTTGGAAAGCAGGAGGGCAGGGGTCCCCTGCCCTGGTCCCAATGTTCTCATTGAGATACCCAGAGCAGGGGGAGGTAGTGGAACATCTGACAGGCCCCTCAGTCCTGTGTGGTTCATGGGTGGCGTTATCTGTAGGGGGGGTATCAAGATGGTCCTCTTTCCTCTACAGAGAGTGCTGTGGAGCCCTAGAATACTATGACAAAGCCTTCGACCGCATTACAACGAGGAATGAGAAGCCACTGAGGAGCATTAAGCGCATCTTCCATACCGTTACTACAACTGATGACCCAGTTATCCGCAAGGTATGTTTGCTGGCTTCTAAAACCCAACAGTATGTTTCTCAGTGCATATTGTTGTTAGAGACCAGCCGTCACCATCAGACAGAAGTTAATGGCAGAAAAATTGCAGACGCCTAAGAAGCATTAGCTGGTATCATTACTTTTCTTAGGTGCGAGGCAGAGCTAGGTTCATGCAAAACTAGAAATACTGGCCAAAGAAAAGGTGTAATTCTGGAAGGGCGAGCAGACCGGTACTTAAGCAGTGTTGGGAAAGAAACTTCCATGTGCAAGACCTGGTTCTTGATGTTTCTGCTTTTGGAGATGAGAAGGCTCGGAGATTTCTCTCTCTCTGACCTGATCAGCAATAAGGAGCCGTGACATTGGCCAGCAAAATTCATAGAATCATAGAACGGTTTGGGTTCGAAGGGACCTGAAAGATCATCTAGTTCCACCCCCCCTGCCATGGGCAGGGACACCTTCCACTAGACCAGGTTGCTCAAAGCCTCATCCAGCCTGGCCTTGAACACTTCCAGGGATGGGGCCTCCACAACATCTCTGGGCAACCTGTTCCATGTGTGTTCCATCACATTTTGTAGTGGATTTCTTACTACTTCTTTGTTTGTGTGAGGGTGGGCCTGGATTGCTGGGGGGTACCTACCTCATGCTTTGTCTAGCAGTCAGTGATGTACCTACCAGTCTAGCTTCCTTAGCGTGGGAGAAATGTGTTACCTGGTTTGCTAACACTTCTGCTCTTGGCTGGGGAAGGGAAGGAGTGTCTGTTCCTGTTGCTGAAACACCATCGTGGTTTTTATTTTTTCCTCTTCCTGTCCCCATAGCTGGCAAAGACCCAAGGGAATGTATTTGCCACAGATGCCATCCTGGCCACACTGATGAGCTGCACTCGTTCTGTCTATTCCTGGGACATCATTGTCCAGAGAGTTGGATCCAAGCTTTTCTTTGACAAGAGGGACAATTCTGATTTTGGTGAGGAAAAGGCCTGAAAGAAATTACTCTTATGGTAGCTAGAGAGTCTAGTTTTCTTTATTAAGTGTCTTCTGTGTCTTGTTGTCCAGACTGAGACACCTAGCACAAGCAGATTACTGTGGTAGCTGTGGGGGTGACTTCAGTATTGATCTGCTCCAACATGGGGCTGAAGCTGATGTAGTTACTCCCCCGAGTGCAACCACTTGTGCCTGGTTTTCTTCCCAGATCTCCTGACAGTGAGTGAAACGGCCAATGAGCCACCACAGGAAGAGGGCAACTCCTTCAATTCTCCGCGCAACCTTGCCATGGAAGCTACCTACATCAACCATAACTTCTCCCAGCAGTGCCTGAGGATGGTAAGGTTGGGCAGTGCTGGGTATTAGGGTCTGTGTTTCAGAGTCTCAAGAAGAGACTTCATTAAGGATGATTTAATACAGCACAGAAGTGTTTTAGTTGGCAGACGTATGTTACACTGATATTCTTTCTGTTTTCAAGGGAAACTAGCTACTGTTGCGGTAAGACAGTATTTATCTGGTAGGGGAGAGCTCCCTTGGAGTTTATTTTTGTAACATGCCCTTCTGTTTTCTTCTGCAGGGAAAGGAGAAATACAAGTTTCCCAACCCAAACCCCTTTGTGGAGGATGACATGGATAAAAACGAAGTAGCCTCTGTTGCGTACAGGTACGCCGTTGATCTCTCTCTGACGCCCAGGTTTGGCAGGGGGGCAGGATGTCGGTGTGATACAGAGGCAGTATGAGCCAGGAGTGTTACTGGAAGAAGCTTTACTGTGAAAGGGATTCCTGAACGTTCTCACAGTGAACAGATAGAGGAGAGAATGTTCTGTTGAGTGCTGGCATGGATCTGGAAGAGAGCAAGGGTCCGAAGTAACCAGCTGAATTGTTTGTTGGCAGATACCGAAGGTGGAAGCTGGGAGATGACATAGATCTCATTGTCCGCTGTGAACACGATGGCGTGATGACAGGAGCAAATGGAGAAGTGTCTTTCATCAACATCAAAACACTGAACGAATGGGATTCCAGGGTGAGGAAGAACGAGATCCCAAAGCTAGCTCTAACTGCTTCGCTGCTGCCTGATGTGCCAGGTACAGCAGGCAAGATGAGATTTAACATCTGGCACTGTCCCCTGGGTGGTCACCTTCCACCAAAGACCCGTAACATTGGTGGACAAGCAGTGATGATGGGGATTCTTCCCCAGATGTGAGGTAGCTGGTTTGAACCCTCTTGTCCCTCTGGAGTATCCAGTCTGTTCCCACGCTTCCCTTGCAAACTTCCCTTCCTAACCAGTGCCGCACACGTTGGTCAATCCCCACTGTTTGCTTTTCTCAGTTTCCAGTGCAAGGTCTTTCCCTGTAGGTCACTGTTTGCATTCCCTCCTGTAGTATCATAAGGTAGACAGAAGAAACTCCCGTGCCTGTTGTCAGGACGGCTGGAGAGATGACTGCTGCTGGCCTGTTAGGGTGACCCTGGTTCTGATTCTCCCCTCAGTATTGCAATGGAGTAGACTGGCGCCAGAAGCTCGACTCGCAGAGAGGAGCTGTGATTGCCACAGAGCTGAAAAACAACAGCTACAAGCTAGCCCGCTGGACATGTTGCGCGCTCCTGGCTGGATCAGAGTATCTTAAACTGGGGTAAGGTGGTGGTTTTGCACCAAACGTCCTTCCAGGTGTGTTTTCCATGATGTAACCTGGTAGATGTCAAAGTGAACCGCTTGTAGAATGAGTAATTGTAATACCGCCCTGTGTTCGGATTGGCCACGAGGGGAAAGCTTGTGGTGAGCACACCAGCCAACCAGGTGTAAACTGCTTCCCCTCCGCATCTGGATGACGTGCCCTCCGCTGCAACTGACTGTGTGAGACCCTGTACGTGACAGGCAGGTGCCCTCTGCGGCTCTCAGCCTCTTGGCCAAGATTGCCAGCAAGGGAAATAAATGCAGTGACCGTGCTGCCTGTCAGGAATTTGACAGAGATCCTCATTGCCCTATTAATGAGAAATTGGGTGGAGGGGAGGTATCATCACAGACCATTTCAAACTCTCATCTTAAAAAGTTGAGTCTGTGCATGGCTAGTGACAGCTGGGTTGAGCTGCTTTGTGAGCTAGCTGCTTCCAGTTTCCTGAGCATCCTGGTCAGAGTGCTTTTCATAGAATCATGGAATTGTTT